AAATTGCTTTCCTCCTATAAATAAAGCATTTTTGTCTAGGTGCTTTATATATTTTTTCTTAGTTTTTAGTTTTCAGAAATTTATAATGTGTTTTGCTATGAATTTTTGGGAGTTATCCTGATTGGGATTTGCTCGCTTTTTTTTTTTTGTTTGTTTGTTGTTTTGAGACAGTCTTGCTCTGTCGCCCAGGCTGGAGTGCAGTGGCACAGTCTCGGCTCACTGCAAGCTCTGCTTCCTGGGTTCATGCCATACTCCTGCCTCAGCCTCCTGAGTAGCCAGGACTACAGGCATCTGCCACCACACCCGGCTAATTTTTTATTTTTAGTAGAGACCGGGTTTCACCGTGTTAGAAAGAATGGTCTCAATCTCCTGACCTCGTGATCCGCCTGCCTTGGCCTCCCAAAGTGCTGGGATTACAGGCATGAGCCACCGCGCCCGGCCTGCTCACCTTTTTAATCTGTTGTTGGCTTATGTCTCTTGTCAAATTTGGGGAGTTTTCAGCCATTATTGCTTTGAGTACTTCTTTTTGCCTCACCCTCCTTCTTTCCTCTAGGGACTCCAGTGACACAAATGTTAGATCTTTGTGGTACAATAGTTGCCCAGGTCCATGAGTCTGTTCATATTTTTTCCAGTCTTTTTTCTCTCTGTTGTCAGATTAGGTAGTTCTATTGTTTTGTCTTGGAATTCACTGATTGTTCCCTCTGTCCTCTCCATTCTGCTCTTGAGCCCATCCACTGAGGTTTTTTATTTTGAGTATTGTATTTTTTGGTTTTAAAATTTCCATTTGGTTCTTTGTAGCTCCTTTTTTTAATTTTTCTTTTTTTATTTTTATTTATTTATTCATTCATTCATTCATTTATTTTTTGCTGAGGCTATGTTTCCATTTGTTTCAGGTGTGTTTGCAGTTGCTCATTGAAGCATTTTATTACAGCCATTTTAAATCTTTGTCAGCTAATCCTGACATCCCAGTCATCTCAGTGTTGGCATCTATCAGTTATCCTTTGTCATTCAGTTTGAGATTTGCTGGTTCTTTATATGATTAATACTTTTTTATTGAAACCTGGACGTTTTGTATTATGTTATGAAATGCTGGGTCTGATTGAAACCTGTTTTTTGTTTGTTTGTTTGTTTGAGACAGAGTCTTGCTCTATCACCCAGGCTGGAGTGCAGTGGCGTGATCTCGGCTCACTGCAACCTCCCCCTCCCGGGTTCAAACCATTCTCCTGCCTCAGCCTCCGGAGTAGTTGGGACTACAGGGGCATGCTACCATGCCTGGCTAATTTTTGTATTTTTATTAGGTTGATGCAAAAGTAATTGCAGCTTTGCCATTAATGGCAAAAACCAGTTACTTTTGCGTCAACCTAATAGTAGAGACGGGCTTTCACCATGTTGCCCAGGCTGGTCTGGAACTCCTGGCCTCAAGTGATTCATCTGCCTTGACTTCCCTAAGTGTTGGGATTACAGGTGTGAGCCACCACACCCGGCCTAAACTTGTTTTAGCTGGCCTCCTCTGACACCCCTCTGGCCGGGAGAGGGGTGGCACTGCCTCAGTACCACCAGGTGGGGGTAGAAGTCCAAGTTCCTCACTTTGCTTCTGTTGACACTTAAGAGGGGGATTCCCTGTTACTGCTAGACAGGGTGCAAGTTTCAGCTCCCCACGTGGTCTCCACTAACACTGTAAGGTCAGGGGGAGCACCTGTAATGGCTGGGATACAAGTTCTGGCTCCCTACTTGGCCTTCTCTGATACCACCCAGCTGGGGATGTTGGGACCCCTCGTTACTGCCTTGTGAGGGGGAGGTCTAGGCTCCCCATTCAGCCTTTGTGGCATGGGTGGGTGGGGCTGCATGCTTTCCTGTGGCGTTTGGCTGCAGTAGGGTATTTATTGCCTAGGAATTTTCTGTCTTGCCAGGCCACCCTTTTCCTGGTCCTTCAGATAGCAGATTTTGTTGAGGTTTTTTTTTTTTTTTTTGTAGTGGCTGTTTGGCATTTCCAGATTGCCAGCTTCTCCAGTACCTATTCTGGGATAAGGAGACAAAAAGAAAGCCCAGGAGAGTCACCACCACCATCCTCAGTCCTGAGGTCCCTGCTTGCCTTCTTTTCTCCACCTCTCAGAGTCTTCCCATGTCTGTCTTGTATGTGATGTCCCAGGGTTTTAGTTGTACTTAGCAGGAAGTATAGGAAAAAATATACCTACTCCATCTTCCCACAAGTGGAAGTTCCTTAAAAAGAATTATGAGGCATAAGTTACATAGAGTGACGTAGACCGGTCTTTCCAAACATGTACCTAGGAACTACCACCCAGATTCCTAGCACCACAGCAGGCTTCCTGTGAGGAGGGACACATTTTTATTTGCATCTTAAAAAAACCGGGCTGACTGCCAGTTGGAAAATGGATTAGTGGGAGGCAGGGGAGGGACTGATGGCCTGAGTGTTCTCAGACACCATCATCTGTCCCTGATGGCCTCTGTGGGTGGGGTGGGGTGGCCTGGGCTCCATAGTCACCTCCCTCCTCTTTGGCACTGGGTCATCAGTCAGGGTCAAGCAGTCCAGGGCTGCCTGATGTGGGTGGGGAACCTCTGCTCTTTCTGGCATCAGACTCAGTGTCAGGAAGCAGAAGCACATTTCAGCTTTTGTATGCCCTCTTTCCTGACCTCTGGGGTCAGGTGTTAATTTCCTGTTGCCTAACTGTACTCCACATTCATTTTGTCAGCAAACATGCTGTATTATGGATTGCTAAGGACATGACTGCTGTGGCTGCTTTGCTCTGCGTGGCCCTAGATTATGGTGTTGTGATGGGGAGAGCAAATGGGGTTAGAGAGAGAGGAAGAAGAAACACTGTGTGTCTGCAAGAGAAAGAAAGAGAGAAAGAAATGCTAGAGACTAGATAGGAGATAGGCTTGGCTGCAGGTCACTTGGATAGCCTCAGTTTCCTCATCTGTAAAATGGAGCCAATATTTTCACCTTTAGAGAAATGTGGGAAGGATCGGAGATTCTGTTGTTAGAAGGACTCAGCATATAGTAGGAGCCCAGTAAATAGACATGATCATTATTATCATTGTAATAAACTAATGGAAAACTGTACTTCTTTATCTGTTGAATATCTGTCTTCAGGCCTACTGTGTAAAAAGTCCTTCTGTAAGAATCTCTTGGATTTTCCTTTGACAAAAAAAAAAAGAGGAGAGGCCTTGTGGGGGTTGGTCTGAGATCCAAGTTGGGGCAGGGCTGATTCCTGGGGAGATCTGGGTACACTGAGGTAAGTGGCCCAGACTTGCTTCCAAGGCTGATTAACAGGCTAGCATTGGCCGGGCGCAGTGGCTCATGCCTTGTAATCCCAACACTTTGGGAGGCCGAGGCGGGCAGATCACGAGGTCAGGAGTTTGAGACCATCCTGGCCAACATGGTGAAACCCCGTCTCTACTAAAAATACAAAAATTAGCTGGGTATGGTGGCATGTGCCTGTAATCCCAGCTACTTGGGAGGCTGAGGCAGGAGAATCACTTGAACCAGGGAGTCAGAGGTTGCAGTGAGCCAAGATGGTGCCACTGCACTCCAGCCTGGCAACAGAGCGAGACTCCATCTCAAAAAACAAAAGCAGACTAGCATTTATTGAGCGCCTACTGTTCACCAAGCTTTCTGCACTGACCCTACATGGGGGTAATTATATCTTCAGTTTTACTGCTGAGGTTTACTGCTGAGGAAACTGAGCTTGAGTGAGAAAAGTGACTCTGCCTAGTGAGTTAAGTGGAACCAGTATTTGAACCAAGGCCTGTTTGGTGCCAAAGCCTGGGTGCTGCCCAGGACACACATAACCTTGCCAGTCAGGTTGAAGGATGGCGTAGGTCAGCGGGCCACCAGAGGCTTACATGCAGAGGCCTGGACTGCAGCGGGCCTCTGGCTCTATTCAGACTGGCCTTCTGCCTATCAAACCAGCTGCAAGGGGCTGCCTGTCACTCCAGAGGGGTCTATGGGGCCTGGATCCAGTTGGGCATAGTCTGTGGGGGGAAGTTTCCTCCACAGGGGCCAGCTGGCCACATCTGTCAACTTCCTGGCTGACTGCCTGGATACTCCAGTCCCAGGATCCTAATGGGCAGTATGCAAGTTGGAATGGGGGTAGTACAGCGGAGGAGAGGGGTCTGGAGCCTGGTCTCAATTCTGACTTGGAGGAGAGGAGATGATGCATAATGGTAGGTTGGCTGCCAGCAGCCAGGGACTGCTCGCCAGCGTGGACATCCAGAAGGGTGCTCAAGGTGTCTTCTAACTTGACTCTTGTCACTTCCTTCTCCCCTGTTGTCCCCATCAGCTAGTGCCTCCCAACTTGTATGTCCTGCTTCCACCCTGCCTCTGAAGCCCACCTTCTTGTCCTCACCCACCCCCACCCCACCTCTTGTGCCCCACGCTTCATAACTCTGGAGAGGCAGCCCATATTTGCATTTCATCTTTCCCACTTTTGTCAATAAATCTAGCAAATGTTTGTGGGGCTACCCCAGGCCTGTTTTCACTGTTGAAGGTTCAAATGAGATAATGGTATGAGGTTTGGGGAAGTAATTTAACTTCTCTAAGTCTCTGTTTTCTCATCTGTAAAATTGTGTGTGTGCGGGGTAGTGGGGAACTTATACCCACCTCAAGGGTTGTGAGGGTTAAAAAGATAGGGCTCCAGTCTCCAGGTGCCTCCTGCCCCTCCTTCCTCACCCTCAGCTTCTCTCTCCCCTTTCTGATATCTCTACTGTGCCTACTGCTCGATGAGCATCTGAAAATTCTACAAGGCTGGGCACGGTGACTCACGCCTGTAATTCCAGCGCTTTGGGAGGCCAGTGTCGGTGGATCACCTGATGTCAGGAGTTCAAGACCAGCCTGGCCAACATGGTGAAACCCCGTCTTTACTAAAAATTAGCTGGGCTTGGTGGCAGGTGCCTGTAATCCCAGCTACTCGGGAGGCTGACGCAGGAGAATTGCTTGAACCCGGGAGTCGGAGGTTGCAGTAAGCCAAGATGGTGCCATTGCACTCCAGCCTGGCGACAGAGCAAGACTCCATCTCAAAAAGATAAAATAAAATAAAACTGTTTTTGACATGGCAGATAGATAACCCAAAAACTCCCTGAATAAAAGATAAAAATCATCCTTTAACATTTATAGCCAAAATTGGCAAAGATCAATATGTATGATTTTGCTCTGTGTTCACAAGATATCGTTCAATTATACTTACCCAAGTGGAAACGGGGTAAGAATAGTAATATGTGCTGCAATGCTATTTGTTATAGCAAAATGTTAGCAATGCTCTAGATGTCTATCCCTAGAGGCCTAGCTCGACGATGTGGTCAGTACTCAAAGGCGCCTAATACAAAGTGGCTGTTGAAAGTAGCAAGGTGTCTCGTCCAGTCTGTCCCAGTGGATGCTCAGAGTAATGGTTCAAGAACACAAATCTGTTCACCTGTATCCCTGCTTAAAATAGTTTATGGCTCCACTGACATGCAGTGAAAATCCAAAAATCTGTCACGTGGCCCTCCATCATCTATCTGTTCCCTGCTGACTGACCTTGGTCCCCTTACCCTACCTTTATCCTTCCTTCTTGCCAGCCCTCACCCTGTGCTCCAGCTGCACCCGCACTGAACCTGCCCTGCCAACTCACTGCCAGGCCTTTGCATGTGCTGTGCCCTGTGTCTGCAGTCCCAGCCCCCAACAACGTTTACCCTGCTAACTCCCTTATCCTGCAAGACTGAGCCTTGCTGACTCCCAAGTCTGAGTGAGGGGCTTCCTCCGGGCTCCCACAGTTCCCTGGGCAGCTCCTATATAGCAGGGGCTGTGCTGCGAGGCAGCTGCTTCCTTGTTTGCACATAGTCTTTGAGCTCCTCGGGGCAGGGACCTGTCAAAAGACAAAATGACAATGCATTTAGTTTAAAGATCTAATTGGCTTTTATTTGAAATTTTAGAATTGGGCAATACCTCATTCTTATAAAATAGAATGATCATTTGACGAGCTGAACAGAGGAGATTGGCTTTATAGGCAGAAAGGGCTGAAGTAAGCAGACAGAACAAAAAGCAGACTGATTTCAAAGTTGCTTTCCTTATAATGGTTAAAGCAGAGGGGACTTCCTGTCATGCTGGCTAGAAGTGGCCTGTTTGGGGATTTGGCTATTATCTCTCTGTGTCCTGATTTCTTGGAAGATCAGATAAACAATTTAGTTTTGGCTTTGTAGCATGGAACTTCAGCATGAGTGAATCCATTTTGATTTGGTCTGTTGGAGCTTATCCAGGAGCTCAGTCCAGACCAATAACCCTCCTACAAATCTTATTTAACAGACCAAATCTTGTTATTTGTTGTAGTCTCTGCATCCGGCATCACTCTTGGCACATGCTTGGTATATATGAGGCATTTCATAAAGTTTGAAGAGCAAAGGGGAGGAGAGAGAAGGATGTGGAAGGGTTCCCTGTAGAAATTCTGAGCCAACTTGGGCCTGGGTGATGGGTTTCATGTAGGCAGGCAGAGACTGGCAAGGGCATTCCAGGCAAGGAGAGTGGCTGGGTCAAAGGTGTGGAGGTGTGAATGTTGGGAGACCACAGCACGCAGCAGGCCAGAAAGGAGGGGATGGCCCAGGATTGGGAGTCAGGGCATTTTATTTCTTCCAGGGCTGTCATTGGAAGGTTTCCTTAGCTCTCTAAGCCTCAGTTTCCTCATTCAGAAAGCAGGGCTAATAGTCACTGTATTATGAGAATCAGTTGAGGTAGTAGGGCGCATGACAACACATTGTGAACCCTAAATTGCTAAGCAAATGTTGGATAATTGTACTATTATTAATTGTTTCAGGATGCCTAGTACCAGATTGATGGTGGGGAGCTTCAGAAGTAAAGCTGGGGAGCTCTGACTTCCTTCCAGCTGCTGATGGGAAGGCCTGGCCTCTGATGCTCACACAAGGGGACCTGGCACAGACACAGCCTTGGTGAGAGCAAGGAGGGCCACTGGGCCTGGGGGACAGGAGGAGGGCAGCCACAGGGAGCACATGCTGCTGCACCTTGGGGCCAGGGTCAGGACCCAGATGGGGAAGGCAGCCATATTGGCATGGACACCAGCTCACCGCAGCCAGCAGCACCCAGAGGCCATTGGTTCAGCAGGACAGGAGGTGTCCCAAGCCCTGCAAGAAAGCAATATACGGGCATGGACTAACGGATGACACCAAGGGGAGGGCTTACACACCTCTCTGTGATTGGCCCGTCACCCTTACCTCTCCTCACTTCACATGCTACACTCCAGGTGAGCTGTTTATCTTGCAGCTCTGGGTCGTTGCATGAGCTCATCTCTCTGCCGCACATGTTGTTTGCCTGTCCCCATTCCTTTGCCTGGCCACCTCATATTCATCCTTCAGATGCAGCCTGTGTGAGAAGCCTTCCTAAGTGCCCAGGTCAGAGCAAGGTGCCTTTGCTTGTGCCTTGTGCGTCTCCCCTCACTCTACCTAATCAGAGAACTCATCACCCAGTACTTGTTTATTGACCTTTCTGTCTCCCCAGTAGACTGGAAGCACCCTGAAGACTCATCAGTCTACTCCCAGAGCCTAGTATGATGTCTGGTGTATTGCTCAATAAATGTTTGTAACATGGACAGATGGATGAATCCATGCATGGATAGATAAGAGTAAGAGTAGATGGTGGATGAGTAGATACACAGATGGTGGAGGAGTGATGGATGAAAAGATTTGTACATGTCTGGGTGGATGGATGGAGCAAATCATACATGTGTGCATGTATGGATTGGTAGTTGGAGAATGGATGGATGAAAGAATATAAGAAATGAGGTCAGGTGTGGTGGCTCATGCCTGTCATCCCAGCACTTTGGGAGGCCGAGGTGGGCAGATCACTTGAGGTCAGAAGTTCAAGACCAGCCTGGCCAACATGTGAAAACCCGTCTCTACTAAAAATACAAAAGTCTCTACTGAAAATACAAAACAATTAGCTGGGTGTGATGGCGCACACTTGTAATCCCAGGGCTCAGGAGGCTAAGGCAGGAGAATTGCCTGAACCCAGGAGATGGAGATTGCAGTGAGCCGAGATTGTGCTACTGCACTCCTGCCTGGGTGATAGAGCAAGACTCTGTCTCAAAAAAAAAAAAAAAAAAAAAAAAGATAGAGAAATGAATGGTGGATACATAAATGAATTAATGGATGGATAATGAGTGCATGGGTGATTGAGTGGATGGATAAATAGGTAGATAATCAGTGCATGCGTGGATAGATGGTTGGAGGAATAGAGAATGAATGAATGCATGGATGGGTGAGTGGGTAGATGAACAAGATGGTGACCGTGTCCCCCAAAGTTCAAGTGCTGGAAACGTAGTCCCCAGTGCAATGGTTTGAGAGATAGGACCTTTAAGAGGTGGTTAAAGGTCACCTCAGGGGAGGGGGGAGGGGGGAGGGATTGCATTGGGAGTTATACCTGATGTAAATGATGAGTTGATGGGTGCAGCACACCAACATGGCACAAGTATACATATGTAACAAACCTGCACGTTATGCACATGTACCCTACAACTTAAAGTATAATAATAATAAATAAATTAAAAAAAAAAGATGATATTCTACTATATTCCTCACTATACATTTAAATTCCATGGCACAAAAATAAAAAAGGCAATTTTGCAAAAATATTTATGAGGGCTTCATCTGTTTCTCAAAACATCTACCTAATAATTTGATACATAAATTATCCTCTTGTAAAATGCCTATCATGCATTATATTTATTTTTCTTCGATTTTTAACAGATACTCATTTACCAATGACTGTCATGCAATTCTTGCTATTTTCCAATAAAACTTTCATCGTGATGTCTGAAAAAAAAAAAAAAAAAAAAAAGGTCACCTCAGGAATGGATTAATGCTATCACCTCGGGAATGGGTTCCTTTATAAAAGGATGAGTTTGGTCTCCTTTCCTCTCTCTCTTGTCTCTGTGATGGCTTCTGCCATGTGGTGACACAACAATAAGACCCTCGTCAGATGCAGCCTTTTGTTCTTAGACTTCCCTGCCTCCAGAACCTTGAGCCAAATACATTTCTGCTCATTATAAATTACCCAGTCTATGGTATCGTGTTATTGCAGCAGAAACGGGCTAAGACCCAGTGCTTACCAGGGCAGTGCCCACAATGCCAGGCTTCATGAAGGCCAGCTTCCAGGCTAAGAGGTGGGAGAGGACTGGGGGCATTCCACCCAAAGGGACCTCTGATCTCATTGCCCCTCTCTCCAACATTTACACATCAGGAAACAGGCCCAGAGAAGATCAGGGCCTTGCCCAAGGTCACACATCTAGCTGGGGTTAGAACCAGTCAGAACTCAGTTGCTTGTTTCCAATATTCTGCATAGACAGAGGCTGGACTGATTTTTATCCCCCTCTGAGGCAAGTAACTGCAAACTGAGACACAGCAAAACTACAAACTCTTTCTAAGGCTTATTGTAATAACTAACTTTATTTCTGCCACCAAAGAGACCATGGAATGTAGTGGCTAAGAGCTTGGACTGGGGAGCCTGATGGCTTGGGTTTGGATTCCAGCTCTGCCATTAATAGCTGTGTGGTGTTAGACAAGTGGCTTAACCTCTCTGTGCTTCAGTTCCCTCATCTATACAATGGAAGTGATATAGTACCTCCCTCATAGGTTGTGTTACTCGGGGTGAGTTTATCACATAAAGTGCTTGGAACAGCACCTGTTGGGTAAGGATGTATGATGTGTGCCTGTGCATGTAAGGCAGTAAGAGTGAGCCCGTGTGTAAATGTGCATGAGCATGAGGCCTGAAGGTACACACGTATTTGTGTGTGAGTATGAAGGAGTGAGCATGTGAATGGATGTTAATGTGCAAGTGCAGTTGTGAGGATGTAACTGTGTACATGTGTTTGTGTGTGTGTGCGAGCACTGTGGGTCTGTATCAGGCAAGGTGGAGTCATGGATGTGCATGTGGCACAGCGTGTGAGCAGAGTGTGGGATACATGGAATATTTTGACCATATGTATATGGTATGTGTGAGGATTTACATGGAAGGGTATGTTGGGGGAGGGCTCACCAGGTGTGTGCATGCATGCATGTGTGTGTGCATGTGTGTTCGTGTGTGAAGCTGGTTCTTGCCCACATCAAGGGACTCAGAAACCTCCCCAAACAGGGTCCCAGTCTGGAAAACTGTATTTTTGATTCCTGAGGCTGGTTATTCAAAAAATGAGTCCATCTCCACTCCAACTCCCAGCCTGGAAGCTAGAGCCAGAGGTCAGGAAGTCAGGTCAGCAGCCTGAGCTGGGCCACCAGGAGCCTGGTTCACAGGGATGGAAGAGGCAGAGGGAGAGCAGGTGCTGGGAACTTTCAGCTTCAGGATCTGGAGGCCAAGGGCTGGATTTGGGCAGAGGTCTGACAGGGTGGACGGCATGGAGCTAGTTGATGGTGCAGGACCAGCCCAGTGGGCGTTGGGACTCCCAGGTCCATACTCCTTGAGTCTGTGCAAGGTCTTGAAGGTAGTGATCCTGTCTGGGTGAGTTATGGCCCTATTCCTGGCATTTCTTTGCTGGGTAGAAGCACCTCACACCAACTCGGCCAATATTTGTTGGTGAATGAATGGACAACAGGTGAAAAGAGAAATAAGTCTGTCTCTAGGGCCTGCAGTTCACTCCCTCCCACAGCTCAAGCTCCACCCCTGAAACCCAGGACTTCCCCTCCACCGCAACCCTCTCTGTGGACTCCACTCTCATTCAAGTCACTGCTCAGCCCCCAACAGCACCTTGAGGGCCTGTCCACCTTGCAGGACCAGGCCTGGCTCAGTGTGGCTCTTCCTGTCCCATTGAGTCCCTGGGGAAGGTCAGAGGCCACTTAGGGGCACCATGGGAAACCTGAGTGGTAGCCTCACCATAGTTAGAAAGCAAGCAACTAGGCAGAGTGGAGTTTCTTCCATTCCTTTTCAGGTTCACTGCAGTCCACGTGGGGTAGTCATCCTCCAATGAGGGCCTCAGCTGCCAGGCTCAAGAACTTTGCAGGCGCTGGGCCCTTTGACTGTCTGAAGGACTCTCTCTATAATCAGAGCAAACACATTAAAACATGGGGCATCCACAGCCCAGGTTGAGTTGAAGTTTTTTGCCATGAATATTTTTCAAAGGATAGGATCATCTTTTGATAAGACACACTATTTATCTTGGTGTCTGAACACTTTTTTTTTTTTTTTTTGAGACAGGGTCTCACTCTGTCACCCAGACTGGGTACAGTGGCACAATCTTGGCTCACGGCAACCTCCACTTCCTAGGCTCAAGTGATCCTCCCATTTCAGCCTCCTGGGTAGCTGTGCACCACCATGCCTGGCCGATTGTGTGTGCGTGCGTGCGTGCGTGCGTGTGTGTGCGTGTGTGTGTAGAGAGACAGGGTTTCACCATGTTGCCCAGACTGGTCTCGAACTCCTGAGCTGAAGCGATCCACCCACCTCGGCCTCTCAAAGTGCTGAGATTACAGGTGTGAGCCACCATGCCTGGTCGATGTCTCAACACTTTACTGCCATTACTTTCTCTGTTTTGGTCACCCTGACTTCTCAGAACCTAGCACTGTGCTCAGCACTTAGTAGGTGCTCAGTAAACATGTGTTGAATCAGTGCATTCATGACTTGAATCTGACTTTACAGATGATAACTCAAGCTGGGTTTACCAGCTAACATCATGTAAGGGGTACTGGGACATTAAACTAAGTGGGTGTTACTTTTGATTTTGAAATTTTCTTTTTGTGGTTTGGAGACTCTCATTTTTCCATTAGGTTTCTAACATTCTCATAGACCGTAGACTCAGAGACTTGTGGAGCATAATGGATAAAGTGGGGCTGCCCATAGACATGGACCCATGACCACTACAGCTGGCCTCTCTGGGCCAGGGGTTCCCCTTGGAGCCCTAGATAGCATCAGAGGCCTCTGGCTGCAAAGGAGCAGGGCCCATCCTTTATCCAGGAGCAAACCTGGTGTTCCTCCCGTCTCTATCCACCTGATTGGCCTGTACCGTGCCTTGAGGAGTGCCCTCTTTTAGGTGCCTGAGTATGATCCCAGGTGGATCTCTATTTCCACTTGTAGCCTTGACTTCCCCAACAGCACCCCCAGCCTCCCCGCTTGTCCCTCTAGTCTGTTGTCCATACAGCAGCCAGAGTGGGCGGGGCCAGCTTCACAGCTATGCATCCAGTGCAGCCACTCAAGACCAGAGGTCAGAAGGGCCATGTGCTTGGGCTTCAGTGCTCTGGCCACCATCTTGAAACATGTTAGCATTGAATTTGTGCTTTGTGAGTGAAGTCTGATGAGAAAACAGCGCCTTCACTGGGAATTTGGAAGCTGGTTTGTGTGTGTCCCATGTCCCACTGCCTTCCCAGCACAGGCTCTCAGCTGCCCACTCCCAGGCTCCCGGTGTCCCCACCTCTGCCCCACCATGGCTGCCCCCCTCCATCTGGAGGCCTGAATGTGGGCTCAAGGAGGACTGGGGACTGCTGGATTGGCCCCTGGCATCTTAGGGTGTGACAAAGTGGTGACTTTCCCCTCCCCGGGCTGAAACTTAGCATAGGCTTCTCCATGACCCCCAATCCAGGTATTGAACGTGTCCTAAAATGACTGTGGCAATCTGGAGGGGCTGCCTATTGGCCATGGGTGGAGGCAATGTGCCGTGAGAAGAGGCAGTGGACTTTCTTGCTTCTGATGGGGACTTTGCAGTTACGTTTTTCACCAAATCCGCAAATTGTATAACTATCCTGGCCAGGCACTGTGGCTTATGCCTGTAATCCCAGGACTTTGGGAGGCCGAGGTAGGCAGATCACTTTGAACTCAGGAGTTTAAGAATAGCCTGGGTAACATGACGAAACCCCGTCTCTACTAAAAAATACAAAAAGTATCTAGGCATGGTGGTGTGCACCTGTGGTCCCAGCTACTGGAGAGGCTGAGTCTGGAGAATTGCTTGAACCCAGGAGGTGGAGGCTGCAGTGAGCTGAGATCACACCACTATACTCCAGCCTGGGTGACAGAGTAAGACCCTGTCTCAAAAAAAAAAAAAAAAAAAAAAAAAAACAAAAAAAAAACAAACTGGCCAGGTGTGGTGGCTGAGGCCCGTAATCCCAGCACTTTGGGAGACCGAGGCAGGCAGATCACCTGAGGTCGGGAATTTCTGACTAACATAAAGAAACCCCGTCTCTACTAAAAATACAAAAATTAGCCGGACATCGTGGTGCATGCCTATAATCCCAGCGACTCAGGAGGCTGAGGCAGGAGAATCGCTTGAATCCAGGAAGCAGAGGTTGCGGTGAGCTGAGATCACACTATTGCACTCCAGCCTGGGCAAGAGCAAAACTCCATCTCAATAATAATAATAATAATAATAATAAATAAATAAAATTATATAGCCAGCCCTAAGAGTGAGGCTTCTACCATACATGTTTGCCCTGCGGGATCCCTCCTGGGACACTGACTGGTGAAGTCCCCATCCCCTCCCTTGGCCCCTGAGGGCCTGCATGACCCAGGCCTTCTCTACCCTTCACCTTGGTGCACCCATCTTAGCATCAGATATTCCTGCCAGGCTAGCCAGACCTCCTTCATTCCCCAGAATGGGTTCTGTGTCCCCTCCCCTCTGGGCCCTGTACATGTGGTTTGCCCTGCCTGGACAGCCTTTTTCTACCTCCTTGCTTATCAGGACAGCCTGACACCCCTCCTCACCCTCCCCGCATCCCGGTTCTCACCCAGATCATAGCAGTGCCTTTTCATTGTCCGGTTGGGATCTTGGGGAGGACAGAGCTTTGTCTCTCTTTTTTCCAGCTGTACCCCAGTGTGAGACACACTGCCTGGTGCTCAGTAAGTATCGTTAAGTGAAGACTGATTGTCCCATCTGCTTCCTCACATCTTTGCCTGGTGATGAGCAAATGGAAGCTCAGAGAGGGCAATGACTCACCAGCATTTCATGCTGGGATGGAGGCAGGTTTAGAGCTTGAATCTGAGTCTAGCGCCCACGCTTTCTCTCCTGCAGGGATGAAAGGCTACAGGGCTTGAGAAAACCCTCCCTTCTGCCCTGAAGGCAGAGCTGTGGCACGGCTCAGGCTTGCTTCCTCATCCCCTGAGTGTGAGGCTTTGCCGCCAACACACAGGGGCTTGTACCACCTGGGGCAGGAGGAGATATAGTCTATGGCATTGCTTCTCTGAATCTGATTGATTCAGCCCACAGTCTCAGGTCCTCTAGACACCAAAATGAACAAGATCCAGCCCCAGCTTCAGGGGTGTCTCCACCTGCTGAAGGTGGTCTCTGCTGAACTTTTCTAGGTTCTGAATCCCACCTCACCCCAACCCTTCTGCGTCCTAGCTCCTAAGATGTACAAATGACTCCGCTGCCTGGACTAGTGGCTTTAGGTAGGTAATGGTGGCTCCTCAGAGCACAGAGAGGTGCACTGGAGTCCCAGAGCCCCTGAGCAGGGAATCAAGCCCGGATCTGCCTGGCTCTGAAGCCTGGGCTGCGCCAAGCTTATCACATATCAGACGTCCCCAGCCCGGAACTGCCTGAGAACAAGACCGCACCCAGTTGGGAGGGGTGAGGGAAGGAGGCTCTAGGGAGGCCACAGCACCTGCGCTGGGCCTGGGAGGGTGTCCCAGGAGGAATGAGAAGGAGCAGCGCAACCAAGCCAGGGTGCAGAGGCAGGGAAGAGTGGGGCGAGAGAGAAGAGTAGAAGGAAGGTTCAGCCCAGACAGCAGGCTGGAGAGTTTAGATTTTGATCTGATGGTAGTAGGGAGCCACTGAAGGTGTTTGAGCAGTGTGAGGTCATCTGTGCTGGGGGAGTCTATGCTGGCTGTGTACTGGGGAGTGGAAGGGAGTCAAGGAGCCCAGTCAAGAGGCCATTAGAAGATCCAGAGGTGGCTCATAGTTTTCATAGATTTCACCCTGCTCAAGTTTGAGGCAGGGTGAAAGCCACTGAGAGGGAAATACACCAGAGGACATGGAGGGCCCATGGGTGCTGAAGAAGGCTGTAGCTGGGTCGGGCATCAGTGACATAAACCTGAGGGAGGGCAGGGGCATGTGCAGGGCCACGTGAAGTAGGGTGGCATTCGGGGGCTCTGTACATAGTGGGTGCTCAGTAACTGTTCATTGAATGAATGGATGAATAGCTCCTTGTTTCTGGGTCAGCTCTGGTCATACCCTCTCCTGTTTCCCACACCTCTTCTCTTTGCCCACCCTGTCCTGTGGCCCTGGGGAGACCTCAGCTGGCCCAGTAGAGGCAGTGCTGGCCCGTGGTTCCGCCGAAGGGCGCCTCCATGTTTGTGGGTGCACTGCACGCCTTCTCCCTCTCTGTCCCCCTCCCCCTCCCTGTCCTTATCTTTCCCTTCTGTCTCCATGGCGACTCACCACCTCGGCTTGCCTGCATCCCAGCCTCTGCCAGGGATTCTGAGCCGGGCTCCATCCCTCCCTCCTCGGAGCCCTGCTACCCGCAGCCCTGTCTCCTCCCCCTGGGGTGAGTCCAGCAGCAGCCTCCTCTTTCCCGGCTGTCACATTTCTTTTCCAGCTCTGCCCGGGAGTCAGCTCCTCGGGGAGACCATCCCCCAACCTCACCTTCCACCTGCCGCAGCCCGCTAGCCTTTCCGGGAGAAAAGGCATCCTTACCTCTGGTTGAAGGTCTCGGGGCCTCCCCCTCTGCATCCGGACCCTCTCCCCATCCCAGCCTCCCATGCCGAGGCCCGCCTTGTCAGTCACTTCCTTTTGTCATCGGCTTGGCAAACGGGCAAGTCTTCAGTCCTAAGATCGGGAAAGAGAGTGGGGTGGGAAGAGCCCTCTTGGGGTGGGTGATGGGCGGGGTGGGGGAGCATGAGGAGTCCCTGGAAACCCAGGATGAAGATAGAAGTCTGGATTCTGTTCTAAATCTTATTATTATTATTTTTTTCTCCAAGGAGAGGAAACAGAGCTTCATGGGAAACAGCGGCAACAGTTGGTATGTAGCGGGGCCTTCCAGGCTGGGATGGGTGCAGTGAGACCAGGCAGTTCAGTTGAAATGGCCGGTCCGGAACACAGAGCCCGGCAGCCCAGCCAGGAGGGCTGTCCGCCTGAGGCTGGATCCGCCAGGCTGTGGAGGGAGGGACAGGAAGAAGCAGGTGGGTGCTGCAGGGAGGCAGATGCCAGCTCAGAGCAGAGAGCGGAAGGAATCTTCTAAGATCCAGAGCCATCTGCCCAACTGCAGCACAGGCTGCTGCCTTCTCCTCACTGTCCCTGAAGCATGGTATTGTGGAGGGCATCATGCCTGGGGGCCTGGCTGAAGTCAGCACCTCATAGAAGCAGCCCCCTGCAGAAAGCCGGGAGAGGCTCTTCCCAAGCATTTGCACCAGGCACTGTGCAGACAGCTGCACACGCCTCCTCTCGGATGGTCACCCCAACGGCCCCATGAGGGGTATTGCTATCCTTTCCATTGGGACAGTTAGGAAATTGGGGCCCAGAGAGGGGAAGGAACTTGCTCACATTTGCATGGCTGGGATGTGGTGGAGTCCCTTCTACCCAGACTTTCTCCCTCTCAGACTCTCTCACCACTGCTCTGCTGCCCCCACTCTGAGGCCCCCAGGTCCTAGGACACACGTCAGTGAGGAACTGGCAGAGCTTGGCCTCTCTGGAAGCAGCTCCGCCTTTCCATGGAGGCACCAATGGAAACTGGGTTGGCACAAAGGGTACTCCACTCCCAAGCCATCAGTCTTCCACCACAACCCTGGCCGGTACCCCCTGCCCTCAATAGACATCCTGCTTTTCAGTGGCCTGTTTTGCCCCACAGGTCCCACACACCTTTCCCCAAGTTGGAGCTGGGTCTGGGGCCCCGGCCCATGGCACCCCGGGAGCTCCCCACCTGCTCCATCTGCCTGGAGAGGTTGCGCGAGCCCATCTCGCTAGAATGTGGCCACGACTTCTGCATACGGTGCTTCAGCACGCACCGTGTCCCGGGCTGTGAGCCGCCCTGCTGCCCTGAGTGCCGGAAGATATGCAAGCAGAAGAGGGGCCTCCGGAGCCTGGGCGAGAAGATGAAGCTCCTGCCGCAGCGGCCGCTGCCCCCTGCGCTGCAGGTCTGGGGACTGGGCCTAATCAGTCAGACCCAAGAGGAGGGGGTGGCTTTGGCCCTATTCTAGAACATCAGGACAGCACCCAGAGCTCCAGGCTGGACACACTCCCGGGTCAGGAGCTGGTCCTGGATGCTCAGGGGCGCCTTTCTTCTCCTGGCCCAGGAGACCTGTCCTGTGAGGGCGGAGCCGCTGCTGCTGGTTCGCGTCAATGCGTCTGGGGGCCTCATCCTTAGGATGGGGGCCATCAACCGCTGCCTGAAGCACCCCCTGGCCAGGGACACCCCGGTCTGCCTCCTCGCTGTCCTGGGGGAGCAGCACTCAGGGAAGTCCTTCCTCCTCAACCACTTGCTTCAGGGCTTGCCGGGCCTGGTGAGGGCAGGGCGGAGCAGGAGGGGGGCGGGGAGCAAGGATGGGAATCCCTGCTTGGGGGAAGCTGGATCTGTTATTCTGGTCTGTGGGGACAAGGAACCGACCAACTGATGCTCTCCCTTCTCTCCCCTGCAGGAGTCTGGTGAGGGCGGCTGGCCGAGAGGAGGAGAAGCGTCCTTGCAGGGGTGTAGGTGGGGTGCCAATGGCCTTGCCAGAGGCATATGGATGTGGAGCCACCCCTTCTTGCTGGGGAAAGAAGGGAAGAAGGTGAGGGGGGAAGTGGCAGAAGGAGGTCAGGGATGGGAAGGGGAATCAAGAAGGGCATCTCTGGGGTGAGGATAGATGGGGATGGGACGGGGCAGGATTGGGAAGAATGTGGGAGAACAAGGCAGGCCTGGCCCCTTGGGTCTTCCCCTACCCCCTGCATAGGTGGCGGTGTTCCTGGTGGATACAGGGGATGCCATGAGCCCTGAGCTGAGCAGGGAAACAAGGATCAAGCTCTGTGCTCTCACCACGATGCTGAGCTCCTACCAGGTGATGGGGGACACTGATGTTGGCATCCCCACCCCACACACCCTTCTCCAGCTCAGTTTCCTCAAGGCCAGAGCATCTCACAGGCTTTGGTGTCTGGGGTCCTCACAGGTTCTGGGGCTGCCCCGGAAGGGGGAAGGTGCTTCTAGTTGGTGAAGGTGGGAACGTGGGTTATTCCTAAAGGTGGGCTGGTGGTCCCTGGGGCAGCTGAAGGCCTGATGGATCACAGTACCCTCCAGGTCTGCCTCCAGCCTTGAGGCCAGCCCAGCCCTACAGCCTTCAAGGCCCCCATACTGGCCTCTCCCGTGCTCGGAGACCTGCAGGCTGCCTGCAAGCTCCCCACTCACCAGGGCCCTCCCCAGTGAAGTCACCTGGCCTCTGTAATCCCTCGTACATGTTCTCTCTGATTCCAGATCCTCAACACCTGCCAGGAGCTGAAGGATACAGACCTGGACTATCTGGAGGTACAGAGACCTCTGATGTTGGGTCACCCCCACCCCTGCCCTGCCCACTAGGCCAGGGGCTGGACCCGAAGGAACTAGGTGCCCTCCTGTTCTGGCCTAGGGTTTTATGACACTTGAACAGGGTTGAAGGGGGAGGGTGGAGAGTAAAGCATGAGATGCCTGGTCTGGGGAGAGGCAGGAGAACCCCAGGCTGTGAAGCGGGAAGCCTGGCTCCTACAGCAGGCAGAGGGAGGTGGGGAGACAGGCTTGGGGTGCACCATAGTCCTCAAAGTGGCGCAGCCCTGACGCTGTCTGTGTCCCACCCCCAGATGTTTGTCCACGTGGCCGAGGTGATGGGCAAGCATTATGGGATGGTGCCCATCCAGGTGAGATACCTATCTTTGGATTCATTGGTCCCAGGCCCCATACCCCCAGTTGTTGGTGTCAGGACCCCTTCTCTTCCAGCATCTGGACCTCTTAGTTCGTGACTCGTCCCACCCCAACAAGGCAGGGCAGGGGCATGTAGGCAACATCTTCCAGGTGAGTGGTGCAAGGGGATGGGGTGGAGGGGCCATGGACAGGGCAGAGGTGGGGAAGGCTGGGAGGGGTCCCAGTAGGGACCCAAGCATGGGAGGGTGGACCTCCTAGCTCAGAGCGCTCCTCTTGCTGCCTCACAGAGATTGTCTGGCAGATACCCCAAAGTGCAGGAGCTGCTGCAAGGGAAGCGAGCCCGCTGCTGCCTCTTGCCTGCCCCAGGGAGGCGGTGGATGAACCAAGGCCATGCAAGCCCTGGTGGTGAGTGTCCCCGAGAGCTGGACCTCTTTTGCGCTGCTCCCAGCTCCCCTCCTTGGGCAACCGAGCCCCTCGAAGCACCCGCCTCTCCTGGCCTCTGACACCCCTTCTCCTCCCAAAGCCTGCAGTCTCTCAGCATGCAAATCTCTCCCTCAGACACAGATGATGACTTCTGCCACCTTCTGGGGGCCTACGTCTCAGATGTGCTGAGCGCGGCCCCTCAGCACGCTAAGAGCCGCTGCCAGGGGTACTGGAACGAGGGGCGCGCCGTGGCCAGAGGGGACAGACGCCTGCTCACGGGGCAGCAGCTAGCTCAGGAAATCAAGGTGTGAAAACTCCCTGGAGACCCAGGCGACTCGGCTGGGCCCCTGCTCTCCCTGACCCCGGCGATGGTGTCTCCGCAGAACCTCTCAGGATGGATGGGGAGGACAGGGCCCGGTTTCACCTCTCCGGATGAGGTATGAGCCCCTGGGGGATCCAGAATTCTGGCAGGGAGGCAGGGAGGCAGGGGAGGCAGGGAGGTGGGGGCTGTGCCGAGGCCTCCGGGGTGGGGGTCTGTGTGCCCTGGGAGTGGAGATGAGGAAACAAGCGGCGCCCCTGGCTGAGGAGGAAGGAAGGAGGCAGCCTGGGTTTTCCCGTGGACAGATGGCTGCTCAGCTGCACGACCTGAGGAAGGTGGAAGCTGCCAAGAGGGAGTTCGAGGAGTACGTGAGGCAGCAGGTGAGCCCTGGGGCGTGCTCGGGGGGCAGGTGTGGTCCGGGCAGGGTCCAGGTCAGGGAGAGGATGCCTGGGGCTCCTGGTCAGGGCACCTTCTTTTCCCCTCCCTGTCACAGGACATAGCCACCAAGCGCATATTCTCTGCGCTGCGGGTCCTGCCAGACACCATGCGGAACCTCCTCTCCACCCAGAAAGATGCCATTCTGGCCCGCCATGGTGTGGCCTTACTCTGCAAGGGGAGAGATCAGACCTTGGAGGCACTGGAAGCTGAGCTGCAGGCCACGGCCAAGGCCTTCATGGACTCCTACACGATGCGCTTCTGTGGCCACCTGGCTGCTGTGGGGGGTGCTGTGGGGGCCGGGCTCATGGGTCTGGCAGGGGGCGTGGTGGGTGCTGGCATGGCAGCAGCTGCACTGGCTGCAGAGGCCGGGATGGTGGCTGCTGGAGCTGCCGTGGGCGCCACAGGGGCCGCCGTGGTTGGGGGTGGTGTGGGCGCTGGGTTGGCTGCCACAGTGGGCTGCATGGAGAAGGAGGAGGATGAGAGGGTGCTGGAAGGGGACCGAGAGCCCCTTCTCCAGGAAGAGTAACAGCCCCAGGAGATGTTGAAGGACGGGAGAGATGTGAGGTGGGGACGAAGAAGAGAGGCAAGAGGGGTGAGGGTGATGCCAGGGATTCCAAGGCGCCCCCATGTACTGCATTGCCCTGGTTGAATGCTCAGTGTCTGGGTAGCGGCTGAGCTGGGACTCAAGGTGGCTGTAGGAACCTGGGAGGCAGCATCTGGGGGCAGTGGATAGAATACCTGGCCTGTTTCTGGTTGCAGATGGTTGCCAATCTGCCCTTGTCACAGATAGGCTACATCCCAGGGTTTCTGGCTGCAAGTGAGGCTCTACCCTCCCCGCCTGGCTCATTTCCCTGATGACCCTGGATTGTAGGAAAGTTAAGCAGGCACCATCCTGGAAGTCTACACCTGGGTGATCAAGAGACCTTTTCTTTCACAGATGTGAGAAGCCCCAGGATGATTGACCATGGTGTTCAGGAGCAGGGAGCACTGATGAGGTGCTGGGGATAAAAGGAAGGAGGGAACACTGGGCAGAACCAGAGAGATGGGACATGGTAGGCTGTGGCCCAGACCCCAGAGCAGAGAAACTTGCTCCCATGACTCTTCCCAAATCTGCTCCAGCCCGAGTAAGGTAGCTTCCCCACCTCCTGGCCCACAGCCCCAGGGAGGCTGTCTGTGCATCCTGAACCACTCTGTGCTGGGCCTCCCCGAGGACCTCTCTTGGGTGTATGCCCTTTTTCAAGCCTGTTTAGATGGGGGAGTGCCCATGCCCTCTGTGAAATGCCCAGATGCCAAAGAATAACACCTTTTCTTGCATTTTGAGCTAAGCCAGACAGCCTTTCTACTAGATTCTATCAAAATCTTGCAAAGGAGAACAAAATGAACAACTTCTATTCTTAAACACATCCTTTCTCCCCTGGGCTTGTAAGATGATGCGGCTTGATGCAGCTCCTCAAACACCAGGTCCCCTGGGAACTGGGGGTGCAGGAGTTCTCCCTCTGGGGGACAGAAAATCTGACTACTAGGAAGACTTCTAGGCTGTGAAACTGACTTCTAGGATATGAAACTGACTTCTAGGCTATGAAACTTACAGGGTATGGGTGGGCACATTATCCTTTATTTTATGAAAAATAAAATGTGTGTATGTGAATGTCAGCTTCCCAGTATATTATTGAAACAGAATTTAACCCTCAGAGGACTTCATGGTGGGAGCAGGTGAACCAATGAGATCCATTGATGGAATGCACAGATGGGAAGAGGGAGATTGGAATTCAGGAGATCCGAGGAAGTGAATGTAAGAGGTCCCCATTCAGTGGCTGCGAGAGGGCTCAGGCCAAGGCCAAGTGGTTATGGCCACCTTTGTAGGCTCTTCCACTAGGACTTGGGGTTCTGTTCCTCTTGTCTCCTCTCTGAGAAACTGCTTCCCATGATCCTGTCAACAGGCAGTCAACAAGCATCTGTCCCAGCGAGAGGACAGAATGGAGGCATAAGCAGAGAGAACTTGGTCAAGCCTTGAAGGAAGGAGGAGCCCAGGACCACTTCTGCAGGGCTCAGCCAGCCAGGAGTTCACCCGACTGATTCTCCTCCCAGCCCCGCTCCCCAGCTCCCCATCTGAGAATCACAACAGCAGTCATTGCATCCAATCCTGGCATTTTATAGGTGCACACCCAGAGAGAGAAAGTCTCAGATAAGCCTGTGCAGCTGCCAGTGACACAGGGAAACCCCGAAGTCCTGGTTCCCAAGCTGGTGTTCTTCCCCAAGTCATTTTGTTAAGGTCAACTGTGCTGAAATTGAGATGCTCCTTTTCAGATGCTGCTTCTGGCTGATCAGGTCCAGCTCCAGGGAAGTGTGTGGTGGGCAGAGGCAGGAACATGGTCTAGAACAGATGGCTCAGCAGTGAAGCTATAGTTAACAGGCTGGGTACAAAATGCAGGATGTAGAGAAATCCCAAAGCCAGGGCGGGGTTGAGTGGGGTAAAGACAAATAAGAGTGACTCTCTCTTTTAGGGTCTGAGCCAAGGGTGGGAACAGGGTCCTAACTTTGTGTAGTGTTTGTGGAGAAAGGCTTTCTGGAAGCATCTCTCTGAGCCCTTCCACTGTCATCTGGTGGACACATGAGCTATGAAACTGTCCAGACTTTGGAGGCTCAGGATGAGGGGCCAGAGACTCACAGAGGGAGGGTGTTACATGGCTGGAATCCCACCCGGCAGCACTGGAAGGAACATCAGTTCCGTGTCTACCTCTCCCCACTCTGTGCACAGATGGGAAGAGGTTGGCCCTGCGAGGGATGTCTCTGCAGAGACAAGATGAGTAATATTAAGTGGTGTTTGTCTTGTGCCTTGTAGCTTTCAAAACATTTCCTCAAACATTGTCTCCCTTAAGCCTTGAAATCATCTCAAGCAGTATGTAGAACACACAGTTTTACAGAGGAGGACACTGAAACTGAGAGAAATAATGTGTCTCAGTGGAAACAACTAGTCAGAGGTAGGCCAGGAGTCGGCCCCAAGAGTTCTGGTGCCAAATCCCTGGCTCAGTGGAACCTTCAAGCCTCTCCGGACTCCAAGACGACCAAGCTTCTGGGTTCTAAACCCGATTTGTTGGCTTCCTGGGCTTCCAACATTGATTCTGTAATTCACAAGAGCCCAGGCGACTCATTGACCGAGGTCTCAGCAGCATGCTGACGTCTGGCTGCTTTCCCTTCTATGACCCACTGAAGGTTCCAAGATTGGTAGGTTCCAGGATTGGGTTGGAGGTTTGGTGACTTGCCATGTGGTTCCCGTTTCTGAGGCCTCCCTCATGTTGCAGATGGCAGTACTACAAGACAAGAGGTGCCTGCATCCTGAAGGCCCCTGACCGCTTGGAGCAGGAATAAGCCCCCGACTCCACTGGCTCTCATCAAACGACGCCGTGAGCAAGGAATAAACTTTTACTGCATGAAGGGGATGCGACATCTAGGTTGACTTAGTACACCATTGCCCACCCTACTCTAACACACACAGAAATGGGTTCTTTGAAATGGAGTGATGCTGTTAACAGACAGGTAAAGTATCACCAGTTGGGGGCTGGGCGGTAAGGAAAGGTATTTTAGGTCGTAGTAGAACATTTGCTAAAATTGTTGCCTACGGCAACTTGGAAGACAGACCTTGTGCTATTGAGGAAAAAAATTATTTTCAATAAAATCTCCTGCCAACCCAGAATATTCTCTCCACAAATGTGGAAAATAAAGAAAATACTAGTTCTGTGATTAAATAAGCATTAAACACATGGATGTATTACGTGTAATCAGCTAACACCATCATAAAGACAGAAATCCCCCCATGTATGTAGTCAAGCAGCTACAACCCATTACACACATGCTGTCGTGTATGAGGACTTGAACTCAGGTGAGAGAGAGCTCCACGGCGTTGTTGTTTGCTATACATGCGCTCACAGCTTACCTAATTCACCTGGTGATTGGGGTGGCATCTGTGTTAATTAGTGCCTTTTTCTGTAGGGAAAATAAAGCAACTTGAATCTCTAGGAAATGTAGGTTGTTGGCCAGGCAGTGGCTCACGTCTGTAATCCCAGCACTTTGGGAGGCCAAGGTGGGCAGATCATGAGGTCAGGAGTTCAAGACCAGCCTGGCCAATGTAGTGAAACCCTGTCCCTACTAAAAATACAAAAAATTAGCCAGGCGTGGTGGCGGGCATCTGTAATCCCAGCTACTTGGGAAGCTGAGGCAGGAGAATTGCTGGAACCCGGGAGGCAGAGGTTGCAGTGACCTGAGATCACGCCACTGCACTCCAGCCCAGGCAATAGTGCGAGACTCCGTCTCAAAAAAATAAAAATAAAAAATAAAGCAGGTTGTCAAGGCACCTAGTTGCACCTTGACACACCCTTGGTGACAGCAACATGAGGCACTGTCGTCCTTGATGTTACACTTGTGAGAGGGGGCTCCCAGGCTTTTCAGAAAAACAGTTTTGGGTTTTAATTCTGGTAAAAGATTTATTTAAACTTTTAAAAGACTTGCATAAGTATCTGAAGGAACAGAGGAAAGATTTACAAATACAAGCTTTCTCAAGGAAATGTTCTAAGAAAAGGGAGGGGGAGAAGGGGTTTCTTTTCCTTTTGGAAACAAGACAAATGCCATCTTAGTTTTATTTACCTTTACAGTTTCCCCACTTTGTTATTATTTTATAGTAACACTATAATTTGCTAATGATCTCCATTGCTTTTTTTTACCTTTCTCTGGGCAGTTTGAAGCCATTAAAATACTCAGCGAGCCCACAGTAAAACAGTAAAGTTGATCAGGCTGTTAGAACAAAACATCATAGACTGGCTGGCTTATAAACAAGAAAAATTTATTTCTTATGGTTCTGGAGGCTGGAACTCCAAGAACGAAGCTCCAGCAGATCTGATGTCTGGTGAGGGCCTGCTTCCTCATAGACTTCTGTCTTCTTTTTCACCTCACATGCTGGAAGGAGTGGAGGGTGTCTCTGGACTCTCTTCTACAAGGGCACTAATCCCATTCATGAGGTTTCTGTCTTTATGACCGAATCACCTCCCAAAGACCCCACCTCCTGATACCATCACCTTGGGATTAGTTAGGATTTCAGCATATGAATTTTGGGTGTACATAAACATTCAGCCTATTGTAAAAACAATGATCAGGATCTCCATGGGTTGAATTTAACAGTCAGTAGAATACGCACCTCAGGGAAAAACCTCTAAACGCATCATACTAATGGCGATTGGTTAAAGCAAACTAGATTAGCAATGTGCAAAAATTCTCCTTTGGCACACATTAATGTTACAAACTGCTGTGCTGTCTTTATCACTTGCCCTTTCATGCAATTAACTATTTGAGTATCATTTTGTAGTTGCTTACAAAGTCTTACCCAATCTAAGCCTAAGGAGTGGCTTACCTGCAGCACCCATCTAAAATTTTAAGACTTTTTCTTTTTTTTTGAGACGGAGTTTTGCTCTTGTTGCCCAGGCTGGAGTGCAATGGTGTGATCTCGGCTCACCGCAACCCCTGCCTCCCAGGTTCAAGCAATTCTCCTGCCTTAGCCTCCTGAGTAGCTGGAACTACAGGCATGTGCCACCAGACCCAGCTAATTTTGTACTTTTAGTAGAGACAGGTTTTCACCATGTTGGTCAGGCTGGTCTCGAACTCCTGACCTTAGGTGATCTGCCCACTTCGGCCTCCCAAAGTGCTAGGATTACAGGTGTCAGCCACCATGCCTGGTCATGTCCATGGCTCTTATTATGTTAAGTCTTGAGGACAGGCCGGGCGCGGTGGCTCACGCCTGTAATCCCAGCACTTTGGGAGGCCGAGGCGGGCGGATCACAAGGTCAGGAGATCGAGACCACGGTGAAACCCCGTCTCTACTAAAAATACAAAAAATCAGCCGGGCGCGGTGGCGGGCGCCTGTAGTCCCAGCTACTCAGGAGGCTGAGGCAGGAGAATGGCATAAACCCAGGAGGCGGAGCTTGCAGTGAGCCGAGATCGTGCCACTGCACTCCAGCCTGGGCGACAGAGCGAGACTCCGTCTCAAAAAAAAAAAAAAAAGTCTTGAGGACAAACCCACCCATCTGCCATTTCCACATCAGTCCAATCAATAGTTATATTATTATAGCAGCATGTCATGCTGAACTAGTGATGAAATCTCAGAGCTTTTTTCTAGCTAATTGCTAAGCTGCTTTATTGCTGAGTCCCTCTGAGATCCTTGTGGTGAATTTTTGTTTGGGCATTACGTTGTTTCTCAATAGTCCAATTCTGAATTTTTGGCCATTTCCATTGCAATTGTATTATGTGTTTTTGTAATTGTCTCAAAGCGTTAAGTTTATTATTGAAAGTATCAGTATCAACAAGCTTTAGCTACACTTGTCTATTTCTATTCCTCTAAGGACTGTATTTCGTGTTTCTTTTTGTCCTTGTATGACCTCAAATAAGCCCCTTAATAATCAGATTTCTTTTTTTTTTTTTTTTTGAGACGGAGTCTGGCTCTGTCGCCCAGGCTGGAGTGCAGTGGCCGGATCTCAGCTCACTGCAAGCTCCACCTCCCGGGTTTACGCCATTCTCCTGCCTCAGCCTCCTGAGTAGCTGGGACTACAGGCGCCCGCCACCACGCCTGGCTAGTTTTTTGTATTTTTTTTTAGTAGAGATGGGGTTTCACTGTGTTAGCCAGGATGGTCTCGATCTCCTGACCTCGTGATTCGCCCGTCTCGGCCTCCCAAAGTGCTGGGATTACAGGCTTGAGCCACCGCGCCTGGCCAATAATCAGATTTCATAGTGGGAGAGCCTAGGGGATGCAATTCTGGTTATGCAAACTACTTTAGCCTCAGACATTTCGTGTCAAACTTAGGGCTTGAATATTGTGATGCATATTAGTTATGTTAGTGTTACCAAAAAGGCACTTTGGGAGGCTGAGGCAGGTGGATCACCTGAGGTCAGGAGTTGGAGTTCGAGACCAGGCTGGCCAACATGCTGAAACCCCGTCTCTACTAAAAATACAAAAATTAGCCGGGCATTCACATCTGTAATCCCAGCACTTTGGGAGGCCGAGGCGGGTGGATCATGAGGTCAAGAGATTGAGACTATCCTGGCCAACATGGTGAAACCTTGTCTCTACTAAAAATACAAAAATTAGCCAGGTGCAATGGCAGGCACCTGTAATCCCAGCTACTTGGGAGGCTGAAGCAGGAGAATCGCTTGAACCTGGGAGGTGGTGGTTGCAGTGAACTGAGATCGGGCCACTGCACTCTAACCTGGGCAACAGAGCAAGACTCCATCTCAAAAAAAAAAAAAAAAAATTAGCTGGGCGTGGTGGCAGGTGCCTGTAATCCCAGTTACTTGGGAGGCTGAGGCAGGAGAATCACTTGAACCCCTGACGTAGAGGTTGCAGTGAGCCAAGATGGTGCCATTGCACTGCAGCCTGGGCAACAAGAACAAAGCCTCATCTCAAAAAAAAAAAAAAAAAAAAAGAAAAAAGAAAAAAGAAGATGGTCCCACCTTCACTCTGATGACAATCAGATTGTTGGTCTTATAAATTTGGGCCATATCTATCCTGAAAACACAATATAGAGCAGATGGGAAGTAAATAATTGTGGGGACCATTACTGGGAGTACAGAAGGAAAAGTAGTGTTACAAATAACATATTTGTTTCTAGTCAATTATGAGTCTTAAAGTAATTGAAATCATCACTGCTGTGAATAGGCCAGCAAGGCTGTTTATGGTAATAGTAATAATAAGTTCACAAAAATAGTTCTTTTCAGTTGAATTCAGTACCAATATCAGTTATTCTAGAAGATTTAAGTTTTGAGTCCTCGTGGGAACCCAAGTCCAGTTGAAAGCATGAATCCAGCTGGATTTTTCTTTCACCTTGATAATCATTTCGGAACATGTGAAAGGGTCCCTCACAGGGTGATGACAGCATCTTTCCTCTAGAACACCTTTATGTTCACAAAATCACCTGATCGTTGGTGGGGTGTCAGATTTCCTCTGGCAGATCCTTCTGAATCCTTCTGATTTTATGTCTCCAGGGAAGAGAGGAGCCCTTTTAAGTAAAGAACATGATTATGAGAGGATTCAGTTAAATTGGGCCCAGGACATGGTCCCAGACCCAATTCCCAGGCCTGCCAAACAGAATTTCAAAGGGAGTGATACTGCGCTTGCTTGCAGGGTTGCTCTCATTTTTAACAAGGCTAGCACTAAAGCATGAGGCCATTTTAGGCCAGCAGATTTCTAAATGAGGCTTTAGAGTCCAATTCATCTGCTCTATTTGTCCAGAGAACTGAGGGTAACAGGGAGTATGACAGCATGATTTGCATCATTCCTGAACCACAATAGACTATGGGCTATGTGGACATCCTGGAAAACAGAACGCGACAGAAATCTCTAATCTTCCAAAGGCCTTAGTTCTACAGAATCCAGCTGCTGTGAGGTCCCTGGTGAAGCTGATGGAAAAGAACCTTCTGTATGTACCTTGGGAGTGGCCTTAAAGAATCCTGCCCACAACCCGCACATCAGCGTGTTTTGGACGATACCACCTGCTTAGCAGGCATAGTGAAGTGGAGTGCCTTTAAGATCCTTTTTCACTGGGGGATGGTTTTGTTGATGACACATTACTAATCAAGTAAATGGGAACCATGGTACAATATTATTTTGTTAGCTAATTCCCATAGTCCAGTCAGATTTTTTTAGCCCCTTTCTTATTCCATTTGTCAGTTTCCTTTTGTGATGCATAGTTTTGAAAGTAGATAGAAGTTACTTGTGTTAAAAGTGGGACTCCTGGCTGGGAGTGGTGGGCCACACCTGTAATCCCAGCACTTTGGGAGGCCGGGGCAGGCAGATCACTTGAGTCCAGGAGTTCAAGACCAGCCTGGGCAACATGGCAAAATCCCATCTCTACCAAAACTACAAAAAGTAGCCAGGCTTGGTGGCGCATGCCTGTGGTCCCAGCTACTTGGGAGGCTGAGGCAGGAGAATCTCTTGGACCCAGGAGGCGGAGATTGCAGTGAGCCGAGATCACACCACTCCACTTCAGCCTGGGCGACAGAGCAAGACCCTGTCTCAAAAAAGAAAGAAAGAAAGAAAAAAAGTGAGACTTCTAAGTTTGGGTCTGCCATATTTGAAGAGTGGCCTTTGCAGCTCTTCAGTAAAATTATTTCCTTTAGAAGTGGGATTATTTTGCCCATGTGAATGCTACAGTGTAATGCCTCTAAACACTCAGTTCTTAATTTTCTTTTCTTTAGCTTTTTTTTTTTTTTTAAGATGGAGTCTCCTTGTTCTGTTGCCCAGGCAGGAGTGCATTGGCATGAACATGACTCGCTGTAGACTTGAAATAGGCTCAAGCAATCCTCCCACCTTGGTCTCCTAAAGTGCTAGGCTTACAAGTGTGAGCCAGCATGCCTGGCCTCAGCTGTTAATTTTCTGAGAGTTTACTTCCTATCAAAGTCAAGAATCTCCTATTTTTCAAAATCTTCCCTGTTGCATGACTGACACTAAACAGACATTTACTATCAGTACGTCCATTCGTTTTAAGTCCTGAGCCAAGCCCTAGTAAATGTAAGCTATTCATTAACTCAAATTGTGCTGATTTAATTCCAGGCAAAATAAGCTCCCACAATTTCATGAGCAGCTACCACGGCACAGGAAGCCTAAGTTGGCTGTTTGGATCCCGTATGTGATCCATCAGCAAACTCTGATCTGTCAAAAGACAAAAAGCACAACAAGTTTTAAAATCTTAATTGGCTTTTATTTGTGACTCAAGAATTGTGCAATAACTCATTCTCGTAAAATAGAATGAGTGTTCCGATGAGCTGAACAGAGGAGGTTTGGCTTGATAGGGAGAAAAGGTCTGTGGAAAGAGAAAGAGAAAACAAAAAGCAGATGAGTGGTTTCAAAGTGACTTTCCTTGTACGTTGGTCCCCAACTGAAAATGACTTCATTTGTAATATTTTTAATTTAGGATGGGTTTATTGGGAGCATCAGCAAAGTTTAAAGCAGAGGGGACGTCCTATCATGCTGGCTAAAACTGGCCTGTTTGGGGATTTGGCTATTATCCCTCTGTGTCCTGATTCCCTGGAAGGTCAGATAAACAATTCAGTTTTGGCTTGTTGGCGTGGAACTTCAGTATGAGGAACTCTATTTTGGTTTGATCTGTTGGGCCTAGCGCAGAAGCTCACTCCAGACTAATTGCATCCTATAAATTTTATTTAACAGGTCAAAGCTGGATTTTTAACAGAAAAGTCAGGAAAATCACATTGGAGCCCAGTGTCTTACTACCATTTGTGTTAGGCTGTTCTTGCATTACTCTAAAGAAATACCTGAGAATGGGTAATTTATTAAGAAAAGAGGTTTAATTGGCTCATGGTTCTGCAGGCTTTACGGGAAGCATGGTACTGGCATCTGCCTGGTCTCTGGTGAGGTCTGGAAACTTTCAATCATGGTAGAAGGTGAAGGGGAAACAGGGACCTCACATGGCAAAAGCAGGAGCAAGTGAGGCAGGTGGGGGCGCATGCGGGCAGTGGAGGGGGGTTGGGGGAGGTACCACACACTTTTAAGTGACCAGATCTCTCAAGAACTCACTATCAGAAAGACAGCACCGTGCCATGAGGGATCCAGTCCCAAGATCCAAACACATTCCACCAAGCCCCACCTCCAGCATTGGGGATTACAATTCAACATGAGATTTGGGCAAGGACAAATATCCAAACTAAATCAACATTGTATAACCACGATCATCTATTTGATCAAAGTCTGTTGAGATAGCAGAGTTTAGGAGAGTGCATCTCCCAGGCACACTATAGGCATCGGATAAGAATGCTTGTTCACAGCTAGTCCCATGGCACACCTACAAGTGCCAGGTCTTATGCACTGGTAAGACAGCTATCACAGTATGGGGGACATAAAAATAAGTCAAATGACTCTAGGGGCCGAGGGAAAACTTCCCCTTCACCCTCTGAATGTTTGCCTTAAGACCAACTCACAAAAGGCAGATTAATATGAGAAATAACATAGAAATTTACTAATGTGCACAAAAGGAAAATTGCAGAGTGATTATCCCAATCCCTCAATGGGATCCAGAAGCTTCCTTACCCTCTTGAGGTTACAGAAAGCATCAGGGCTCAGAGCATGACCAAAACCAGATTATGGTGGTAGATCAGATCGTGGCAGTTATGGAGGGGAAGAAGAGGAGGCCTGGCTAGCAAAGGGGGTCATGTTATGTAGATGAAGCCTCACAGGTAGCAACCCTCAGAGAGAATAGATGGTGAATATTTCTTCTAGACTTTAAAGGTGTCAGACTCTCAGTTAATCTTTCCCAGATCTGGATGAGGGAGGGTCTCAGAGACGGCCTGGCTTCATCAGTGCAGATTTCTCTACAGATGCAAATCTCCCCAACAAAAGGCAGCTTTTAAATTATTTTTGTATTTCCAGCCCTTCTGAATAGCCATCTTAAACTATTATTAAGGAAGTATATTTTGGGGTGAAATATTTTTATTTTCTTCAGTCCCCACTTTGAGACTTTTACCTTCAGAAAATTTCATATATGGAAAGGCAAGTTGAAGCCAGGTGCAATGGCTCACGCCTGTAATCCCGCACTTTGGGAGGCTGAGGCAGGTGGATTTCCTGAGTTCAGGAGTTTGAGACCAGCCTGGCCAATATGGCGAAGCCCTGTCTCTACAAAAAATACAAAAGTGGCTGGGCGCGGTGGCTCAAACCTGTAATCCCAGCACTTTGGGAGGCCGAGACGGGTGGATCACGAGGTCAGGAGATCGAGATCATCCTGGCTAACATGGTGAAACCCCATCTCTACTAAGAAATACAAAAAACTAGCCGGGCGAGGTGGTGGGTGCCTGTAGTCCCAGCTACTCGGGAGGCTGAGGCTGGAGAATGGCGTGAACCCGGGAGGCGGAGCTGAGATCCGGCCCCTGCACTCCAGCCTGGGAGACAGAGCAAGACTCTGTCTCAAAAAAAAAAAAAAAAAAAAAAAAAAAAAAAAATACAAAAGTTAGCCAAGCACGATGGTGCATGCACCTATAGTCCAGCTACTTGGGAGGCTGAGGTGGGAGGATCACTTGAGTCCAGGAGGTGGAGGCTGCAGTGAGCCAAGATCATGTCTCTGCACTCTAGCCTGGGTGATGAGCAAGACAGTGTCTCAAGAAAAAAAAAAAAAAGGTAAGTTGATAGCTTTGGAGAGATTTGAGTTAGACGTTGTTAGATAAGAAATAGGCAAAGGAGGGGAAAAACAAATTGAGATAAGAAGAAAAGAGCAAATTATATACATTTTCCCCATATTCTTTTAAATCACTCTTCATACTGAGAGTAAGTCAGTTTGGTTAAACAGCTTTGTCCAGTTTTAGGAGGTGACATTGCAGATGGGATAGGTCTGGAGTGCAGTGGCACAATCTTGGCTCACTGCAACCTCCACCTCCCGGGTTCAAGCAATTCTTCTGCCTCAGCCCCCTGAGTAGCTGGGATTATAAGCGTACACCACCACGCCTGGCTAATTTTTGTATTTTTAGCAGAGACCAGGTTTTCACCATGTTGTCGGGGCTGATCTGAAACTCCTGACCTCAGGTGATCCACTTGCCTCAGCCTCCCAAAGTGCTGGGATTACAATAGGCTTGAGCCACTGCGCCCAACCTGTGGTGGCATTCTGACAGTTTTTTCTGGACTGTAGTTCAAACCAGGTGTTCAAGTAACGTTTCTGAGTAGCCCATACACCAGCAGGCATGAAGGCTATTTACATTAATTTGCTCTGGTGATTTATCCCAAAGTTTATATCAAGTTGTCTAGCTTCAGTATGCAGGGCTTCAAGAAAAACAGTTCTAATTTCTAGTGAGTCCAAGTCAGAAAAATGAGAGAAAAATGGAAAAACACTAGTTTGGAGACTTATAGCTGGAAAGATTTCAGGATTCAACCCAATAATAATAATAGCAGGTGTTCTACGGTTTTCTTCTGAAATATAATTTTTCTGTCTCTAGTCCCCCTTTTCTACCAAAGACAGATCACAGTAGGACCAATCTATTTTGTAAAATAAATTATTGTCTTATTAAAACTTGGCCTGATTATTTGCACAAAGTACAGCAAGATTAGTGATTGGCCATATAGGCTTTTTTCAAATCGGCTCTTTTGGAACTTTTCATAGAGAATTTTGGATTAGACTTTTAAAAGCTTCCTGAAGCTGAGAAGCTAAGCTAAGAATTTGCCATCGGACTATACTTACAATACCTGTACGAACTGGATGAGCTCCTCTTTTCTTGAAGTCCCTCAAACGAGGTTCTTGGGCCTGTCAGAAAGTGACATTGTTTACTTACTGCAAAATCAGGAACCTTGCAAGGGAACAATGTAGACGAGTGAGAAAGACAAAAAGGGCCTTTCTATTTGAGTAATGTGAGCCCCTTTAAATAAATTATCAGGCCCAGAGAGACATTTAAAATGTGGTCAGCCATGATGGCTCACACCTGTAATCTCAGCACTTTGGGAGGCCAAGGCTGGTGGATCACTTGAACCTAGGAGTTTGAGACCAACCTGGGCAACATGGCAAGACCTCCTCTCTACAAAACAAAACAAAACAACAACAAAAACAACAAAACAAAACAAAAATTACCTGGGCATGGTGGCACAGACCTGTAGTCCCAGCTACTGGTGTGGGAGGATCGCTTGAGCCCAGGAGGTGGAGGTTGCAGTGAGTCAAGATCGCGATCGCACAACTGCATTTCAGTCTGGGTGACAGAGCGAGACCCTGTCTAAAAAAAAAAAAAAAAAAAAGTAACAGCAGTCACATCTCACTCCCATTTGATCTAAATAATTACTCTGAAGCCACTTGCTGTGCATACTCGGGACTAACTGCCACCACATAGCCCTAACATGCCATATACCCTACACTTCAACAATGTATACCAATCACTAGCTAATGTTATTTCTGTACACTAATGAGAATTCCTGATGAACAACTTTTGTAATCACTCCCTCTCCTGAGTTGTCATTTTTTCTTTAAAAACTTGAGCCTCTCCTTTGTTTCCTAGAATATTCCCCAAGGCAACCTGAAAGTGTGTCCGGGACTGCATTCCTCAACTTCAGCCCAAATAAAGTCTATATTAATTTTGCCTCACCTTCCTTTTAGTTATTAGGCCAGTCTTTCCAAGGGACTTCTCTTTTTTTTTTTTCTTTTTTGAGATGGAGTTTCGCTGTTCTCACCCAGGTTGGAGTGCAATGGCGTGATCTCAGCTCACTGCAACCTCCACCTCCTGGGTTCAAGTGATTCTCCTCCCTCAGCCTCCCAAGTAGCTGGAACTACAGGCATGTGCCACCATGCCTGGCTAATATTTGTGTTTTTAGTAGAGATGGGGTTTCACCATGTTGGTCAGGCTGGTCTCGAACTCCTGACCTGAAGTCATCCGCCCACCTCAGCCTCCCAAAGTACTGGGATTACAGGCGTGAGCCACCACGCCTGGCCTCCAAGGGACTTTTTATAGGCTCTGTAAAGTTAACCTCAATTCCTCAAAGTAGTCTGGTCATAATGAAAATATGCCATTTCAGTGAAAGCCTCAGTAAAATAACGAGTGTATCCAATTGTGTCCTGTTACAAAAGAAAACAGATTCTTACTGAACTTATGTAAATAACTATATTGCCATAGATTAAGAATAGTTACAAATAGTTTCCAAATTCTGGAGAAATCAGGTAGAGAGAAAGGTAAATATTTCAGTTTTGCTCATAAAAACATACTTTACCCAATTGCTGTAAGCTAAATACCTAAAAAGAAAAAAAGTTTTTTTAACTCTGGAAAACAAAACATAAAAAGAATCACCAGTGTTTTATTTTTTAAATAGGTTATTTTAAAAATATATATTTCAGCACTCTATTAGTTCAATCTCATGTAATTTTGTTGTATTTGATGTTGGGATATCAATCCTCATGAGCACATCAGCTTTTTACTAGAGTTTGAGAAGTTTTTGCCTAATCCAATGGTATGATGACCAATGTTATCATAAACCTGTATTCAAAAGTCCTTGTCAGGTCCTTACCATTAATGTCCTAGAAGACATTTTGGACTGCAGTTGATTTTTTTTTTTTCCCCAGAGTGAGAACAGGAGTGCTTTATGGTCCGAGTGGAGTGTTTGGGAGGAGTGCCTCCCAGCTCCCGCTGGTGGGCTCACCTGAGTGGGGGCCCAGCTGAGGCCACTGTGGGAAACACAGCCCCCACTCCCAGGGGATGCCTCGCACGCTGCCTTCAGTCTCTCGCTAGCCTTGCCTAGCGTGGGCGCTGGGCCGCCCTTTAGGGTGGGTCTGCACACCCGTGTTCAGGGCTCCTGGCCAGAAGCGGAGCCACAGGCATGCTGAGGCCCTGGGTGAGCACGGAGGGCAAGCAGGTGCTGGGGCAGTGCGCACCCCGAAGCAAAGCAGCCCCTGCCCAGCCTCTGTAAACAGACCCTCATGGGTCCCTCCTGGGCCTCAGTCACATCCCTGAGAAACACTGGGGACTGGCGGCTCTGCCCTGAGAGAGCCAGGGTGTCCACCGAGTCTGGCCGAAGCCAGCTGTCCCCTCCTTCCCTGCAGAGCAGGCTCACGCCAGGCCTGGAGGCCCAGCACCGGACTGCAGTTGATTACAAACTGCTTTCTGAGAAGAATCAAAGTAAAGCAATAGCTTTCTGTGAGTGGCAAAATACTTAGAATAGCCATGATTAAAGATATACTTGACAAGGAAATTTGGTTATTTCTGAGGCATACAACAAAATAATCATATTTATGACTGACAAAACGTATCAAGATAGAATTTTAAGAATCTCATACAATTTTGGAACATGATTAATTACACATTTATAAAAATATAACTCAAAGAAAGTTAAAAATGCTTTCTGTGTGATTTTTACATACTAAGGCTAATATGTCTTAGACTTCTAGAGTTTCTTTTTTTTTTTTCTTTTGGGGCTGTATGTGGTGGCTCACACCTGTAATCCCAGCAATTTGGGAGGCCATGGTAGGTGGATCCCTTGAGCCCAGGAGTTGAAGACCAGCCTGGGCAACATGGCGAAACTCTGCGTCTACTAAAAATACAAAAAGTAGCGAGGTGTGGTGGCGTACCCCTGTAGTCCCTGTGACGGGAACTGAGGGGAAATGATCAGTTGAGCCTAGGAGGCAGAGGTTGCAGTGAGCCATGATCATGCCACTACACTCCAGCCGAAGCAAGAGAGTAAGACCCTATCTCAAAAAAAAAGAAGAAGACGACTGGGCGAGGTGGCTCATGCCTGTCATCCCAGCACTTCGGGAGGCCAAGGCAGTGGATCACTTGAGGTCAGGAGTTCAAGACCAGCCTGGCCAAAATGGTGAAACCCCATCTCTATTAAAAATACAAAAATTACCCTATGTGGTGGTGGGCACCTGTAATCCCAGTTACTCGGGAGGCTGAGGCAGGAGAATTGTTTGAACCAGGCAGTGGAGGTTGCAGTGAGCTGGGATGTCGCCACTGCACTCCAGCCAGGCAATAGAGTGGGAACAAGTCTCAGAAAGAAAAAAAAAAAAGAAAAGAAATTTGATTTTGGGAAGTTTGTCATATAACAAAGGCTCAAAACACTTGATACTAAAATAATAATGGTTTAAAGCATTTGATCAAAATAGGATTGCAGGTCACTGTAAAATTATATTCATTTAGCCAAAGTGATAATTAAAAGATTTCAAAAAGTAAAAGCCTTTACTCTGTGATAAAGAGGGGACTGTTTCCCAGCTAATGAAGATACCTAATAAAAACAACATGAAGTGGATCTGTCTCTCCCTCTCCCCTTCCCGTTTTTTGCGGTTTGCTCAAAAGGTAAACAAAAATCTTCTACTATCTCTTATTAATACTACACAAAAATCTGCTCAAAAGAAAAAACTAAGTGCTACCTTTGCATCCATGTATTATTAATGCTGGAGCTTATTTTAATAAGACCTTACAAACACATTCATTCAATCTCAGCTTTCATCACAAGTTAAGATTCCCATAAACTGGCCAGACGCAGTGGGTCACAGCTGTAATCCCAGCACTTTGGGAGGTCGAAGTAGGCAGATGACCTGAGGTCAGAAGTTTCAAGACCAGCCTGGCCAACATTGTGAAACCCTTTCCCTACTAAAAATACAAAAAAAATTAGCTGGGCGTGGTGGTGCATGCCTGTAGTCCCAGCTACTCGGGAGGCTAAGGCACGAGAATTGCTTGAACCCGGGTGGCAGAGGTTGCAGTGAGCTGAGATCGCACCATTGCACTCCAGCCTGAGTGACAGAGCAAGACTCCATCTCGATTAAAAAAATAAAATTAAATGAATAAATAAATATGTGAAAAGCAAACACAGCTGGAAGGCAAAGCATCTAGATCCCCAAAAATCAAGGATTTCTCTTTTTTTTTTTTTTTTTTTTTTGAGATGGAGTCTCACTCACTCTATCGCCTAGGCTGGAGTGCAGTGGCTTGATCTCAGCTCACTGCAACCTATGCCTCCCAAGTTCAAGTGATTCTTCTGCCTCAGCCTGCTGAGTAGCTGGGATTACAGGTGCCTGCCACCATGCCCGGCTAATTTTGTTATTGTTTGTTAAGATGGGGTTTCACTATGTTGGCCAGGCAGGTCTCAAACTCCTGACCTCAAGTGATCCTCCCAAAATGTTGAGGTTACAGGCGTGAGCCACCGCGCCCAGCCAGGGATCTCATTTTAGCATTGAATCCCAAGTCCCCCCAAAGAGGGACACTCCATAGGACCAAGTCTTTTTTTTTTTTCTTTGACACAGAGTTTCGCTCTTGTTGCGAAGGCTAGAGTGCAATGGCGCGATCTTGGCTCACCTCAACATATGCCTCCTGGGTTCAAGTGATTTTCTTGCTTCAGCCTCCCAAGTAGCTGGGATTAGAGGCATGCACCACCATGCCCAGCTAATTTTGTAATTTTAGTAGAGACGGGGGTTTCTCCATGTTGGTCAGGCTGGTCTCGAACTCCCGACCTCAGGTGATCTGCCCACCTCGGCCTCCCAAAGTGCTGGGATTACAGGCGTGAGCCACTGCACCCGGCCAGGACCAAGTCTTGTACATGCTTCTACAGTGCACCTTACTGCAAGAGCGACCCAATGCCAATCAGCCCATTCTGTGCTGAGCTCATTCTCATGAGAGTCCTATGCCTTGGTGGTGAGTGTTTCCACAGCCTCCAAGTGTCCACACTGCACCTTTCTTATCTAAACACCCAAAGAAATGAGTAGCCCCTTGCAAACAACTGCAGTCAGCCACCTCCAAAACCGCAGCCCTCACCAGTGACAAGCCAGCTATCTCACGCACACACAGGCTGTGTTCTCTCATAGCACAGAGAGAACTGCTACCCCCACAAAGCCGAAGAGATCATGCAATGCAATGCAAGAGGGAGCAGAGCTTTAGACTGAGGGGAACCTGCCCGCAACTCTTTGGAGGAAGAATTTCTCAAGGAAAACAGGAGACCTTAGAAAGAGGGTGAGTGGAGCCTTTTTCTGTTTTCCTCAAGGGTCTCACTCAGAGTCATTAGAAGTTCCTTCTAGATGCCTTTATGTGGTACTGAAGATGACAAAACAAGGAGAAGCAGGGAGGATTAGAAGTAAATGGGAGAGGCTGGGCACAGTGGCTCATGCCTGTAATCCTAGGACTTTGGGAGGCCGAGGCAGGCATATC